CTAGGCACATACCATGCATTATATTTGTGTATGTATTGTGAGGTACATGGGCTGTATGTCACTCCATGTCAGATACACCCTTGTCTGTGCAGAACACCAAAGCAGCCATTTCCTCTCTTCACCTTTATGCTAACGGGTGTAACAGTCCAAAAAGGAGCTTGTGCATATGTATAACATCTTGGCAATTTAACCACATACCAAAAGCAATAACAACCTTCCGTGGATTCTCAAAAGGAGCTAATTTTTAAAGCTTTTAATGCAAAAATTAATCTAGTAAAACTCCTAAATCAGATATATCAAACTTAGATTCTGCAAAACCTAACTCTTAGTTGCTTAGTCCCACAGAGGATATCAGGATTGTGTACTGCAGATTCACTGCCTCAAGACAGGGGTGTCAGCAGTAACCCCCATTCCCCAAGCAAATCCTCCCAAGTGACAAACACAGTGCTCCAAGCAGACACTTTCAGACACCCAGCATTTAGAGGCCAGAAGCCTCCTCTCTGGGTGAGATGCCTCCAGCTATTCTTTCAAAGGATACACACAAAGCCTCTCAATTTTTTTTCAGGAGACACAGAGGACAAAACTCTTTCACGAAAGTGTTCATGCTGCCATACCCAAGTACGTCCTTAAGATATGAAAGTCCTGTGTTCAGTGCTCTCCTTTAAAACCCCCAAGATTTATGGAGAACACCCCATCCACTAGCTGAGTCAGGACAGGAGCACCTTTGTCCTCTTTAATTTGTGTCTCTGTGCACTTTTATACACCAAGCAAGAGAGAAAGCTGAAAAACACTTGCATCAGTAGCCTACCAGTTTGGATGCCTGACTGGAAGGGACAGGCAGAGGAGACAGCGCTCATCTTTCAATTTCTGCTCCCCGGAATAATTTCTTACCTCATGGTCACCATTTCAACAAAGTGCCTGCTCCAGTTTTGTGCTAGAGCCTTCCGAGTACACTCTAACAATGTTACTTCACTAGCACTTTATACTGATCAGCACTGTCACTGAAGGGAGAAGTCCCACCTGGGCCATTACTCCACCCCTTTCCGCACATCACCAGCAACAGATCCCATAGCCCACAGAGATCCAGACTGGAGGAGAAAAACCCCAAAAGTTTAACTTTTGGAAACTCAGGGGCAGGGGGGAGAGAAAAAAAACAAAACAGAAAAACCATTGCCCCCCCAACTCCCCCACTGGTGCTAATGCAAAGGAGGGAGGAGCACAGGGACATACACAAATTGTCTGGAGATTGCTACTCCTCTTTGACAGCCTGCCGTGGGTGAGCAAGCCTCAGAAAACAGGCTGTACTTCCACAGCAATTCAAATTGCCCTAAAACTGCCCTGCTGTGATCCTATCCTTCCCTACAGCAGCTGTAGCTTTTGTGCTTTTTTGGGGTGGAGCAGACAAAGAAGGAAGTAAGAGGGATGGATGCTGGGTTAGTTGTCTTGCCAGTTTAGCTCCCTGAACCAGCTCACCCTGGGACTGTTCATCCACCAGTGCTGGTATCACGTGGGAATGGGAAGGGCAGGGTGCTGTTACAGAAGTGCCGATTTCTACCTGATCAAACGGCTCCAGAGGAGCTAAAGCTGGAGGCAGCTGCCAACACTCCGGGTCAGAAAAGCTCAGCAGGGAGAAAGGGAAAAAGGCATCATGTCTTTCAGACCAGGGCAGAATTAGGCCCACACCTAGAGAAACCTGTTGCATGGAAAGAAGCTTCCTCCTTCATGCTAGTACCTCCAGGATTAGAGGGTATCTAAGAGACTCGCTTGGCAAATCCAGCTGTATACTCAAGATGCCGAAATTCTGCAAGCCCTCACTGTTCCTAATGCTTTGTTTCTGAACACAAAACCAAAAAATTTAAAAAAAATAAAATTACACAAACTATATCTATATATATGGTTCAGTAACAAAGTAACTCAGACGAAAAAGCCTAAAGGCTTCCCTGGCTCTTGGAATTTTACTGGAAATTTTTACTGGCTATTCCAAAACAGTATTTTTCAACACCAACAACTCACCCATAAATAAATTAGTAATCTTGTTCTGGAATAAAATAATCCACAGAAGCTTGTACTGAAATATTCCAGAATAGGTATTCTAGACTTTCTCTTGTAATCAATTACTGAAAACAGTAAAGCCCTGAAGGCTGAAGAGAAGACAGAAAATTAATAAAAAAATCTCACTACAAAATTTTGCAATATAAAGTAAAGTAGTAGATAAGGACTAACCTTTTTTCCAGGTTTTAAACTTTTTTTCCTTGTTTTAAGGTTTTCAGTATGAGAGGTGGTTTTTGTCAGGGGAATATTTTTAGGAGACCTGCCCTTCTTGGGAACTGCAGACTGTCCAGGGGGTTTGCCCCGACCTGGTTTCCTGCCCCGTTGCGCTGGTACTGGAGCAGATTTCTGTGGAGACTGCATTGAACGCCGGGTCACTTTGGAAGGGGAAGATTGGATTTTTGCACTGCTCTTTGTAATGGAAACTGAGGAAAAACAAAAACAAAAGGGAAGGGGGGGAAAACCTCAAAATGAACGATGGAAAGCAACTTTTCTAACAAAGGCTTAAAAAAAATAAAAATGTAGTGCACAATTTACATTGTAAAATAAATATACTTGGTATTTTGAACTTAAGTGGTTGGCATGAAACTATATAACTTCATTAGAGCCAAAGAGAGAACTCTTTATACCCATTCTTTTAGAGGGACTTTCCTAAGAGAAAAACATTCCAATAAAAATAAAAAAAAGAATTATTCCACTCACCTTATAAATGCTTCCCATGATTTAATTATGATAAGATATTTATAAAGTGCCATTCATCAAGAAGGCCTTCAAAATACTTCACAAATTATACGGCCCATAATACATCTGTCCTCCTCTAAGAGCTGTTTCCATGATTACAACACATGCCCACTACTTCTAGGGAGCTACAAACCAATTTTGAACAGCAAAGAAAATCATCCCACTGAAGAGGAGAAACTGATGATAGGCAAAGTATCATTAATGAGCATTTGTCTGAGATGCCAGTTTATAAAGTTAAGTTCACATAACTATACCCATATTTTTCTACCTGGAGCCACCCAGACTTAAAATTTTATTTGGAAGAAAAGACTTCCAAAAATCAAACACAAAGTATCATTTTTATTCATTCTTTACACTGAAGTGGTTCTCTGGTGAATCTCCATCCTAATACATAATTGATCCAATATATATATGATGTGACTGTATCACAATCTGGTGTGAAGCTGCAAGATGTAATCAGATTTCATTGAACTTCCTAGTTATCAATCTTTTTCCACCCAACTCACTCTTCTCTGAAGTAATAACCATTATTTTATTTTAACATGGACAGACTAAAAAAAACACCAGAAGGATGCCAAACAGAACCTACGGATAAGGACGTATCCTCAATGAAAAGATGTACTGCACCATGCTACGGCAGCACCTGTGGCCAACAAAAAGCAATTACTAAGTCCAAAAGTCCAACAAATACTCTATTTTGCTGGCCTGACTGCTGGCAGGCAGATGGATGCGTAAGTTGCAGAAGAGGTAAGTAGGAGATGAAAACGGGAGATGTCGTGACATCGAACCACTCTTGTTGTGAGAGGTATGGGAAAGGAACACGCAACGTATTTGAAATCATTTGAAGCCTTTGCACTAAAATTAGATGGCTTTCAAGTATCACACTGACCCTACCACAGCCTTTTGCATCTCGCTGATGGTGAAACTCCTGTAATTCACCCTAACCTCCAACACTACGAACTTCATGTGACAGAACTTAGAAGTATTGAAAGTTAGGGTTCAAACGGGCTTTGACTGTGTCAGTCACCAGTGCCTGATCCAAAGCACTATTGCAGACTGAACGCGAAGCATAGGCGGTTGCTAATAGCTAATTTCCTGGATTTTTGTGAATCTGGAAAATTTCTTCTCCTAAAATATTAGTATGTTGAGGCTTTCTGGTAAGCAAATAAAACACAAAACAAAACTCAAAGATACATTTGAAATGAAATATTGAGAAAAGAACACTCCTCCAAAAAGTAACTACAAAAGATTGAGTAATAGTTTCAACGTCTAGCTCTACAAGTGATATTCACCTTAACAGTCCAGCACTTAACTTTACAACTGTTACTTTAACTCTGAATTTGTATTCAGGAGTTAACTGTTACTAAGTATTTGCAACAGAAGATGTCACAGAAAGATGAAATACACACTGCAAACAGACTTCTTATAAAATACAAGTACTACTGACATATATTTTTAAAGCTGTAGGAGCATTTACATACATTGCTATTTGTCTGATTCGGTTACTAATCTAATAATACTAAATGGCAGTTCAGAAGAAACCTCTTCATTATGGCTGGTTGTAATCCTAATACATCAAATACAGACATGATAACTCCAGGCATCTGAGAACGACCACCTTCTGGATGTGCAAAGTGATCACTTTCCTTCTATTTATGTATGCCAAAACTTATTTTCACATGCAATAACAGCTTAAAGTAAAATGAACAACATTTTAACCAAATGCTGGCATAGCATTACTTTTACACCTCCGAACTGCTGAATGACAGCTCATGTTAAGCTGTACATCTGGAAAACAAAACAATATCAACTGTATACTGTACAAGACAGTACTACGTAGTGTGTCCCGTATTATGCTTAAACCAATGTAAAATGTAGCTATTTTTGTTTATTTGTGCCACACAACTACCTGTTTAACAAAACAATCATGACCTTGTAAAGAAATGTAGTTCCACAAATTCTTTGTGCCTCTGCCTGTGCTGTAATCTAGGAAACGCATTTCTCTTCTCCCACAGTAAAGACATAGCTAAGGTTAAATACACAGCTAATTGCAATGTCAACAGGTTCTAGGAGCACAGGTATGAGTTTCGAGACACTGGGCAATCCCTACTCCCTTCCAGAAGGGCATTTACCGGACAAAGAACAATGCAAACAACTCCAACCACTTCAGGCTACCCTCTTGAACCACACACATCCAGTACCCTTATCTCAGCATCTTCCTACCTGTATACGCCAGAGGACCAAATATTAGTAGCATTAACCATTAAGGGAGTGGGGTGGGTCAGGTCCCACTTGGTGGTTTTCCTTCTGCTTAAGGCTGAAGCTGCTGTTTTCAATAGGCAGGACTGCCACAAAGCCCATGCTGCCTGGGCAGCCTCCCGGAGATAGCAGCAAATGAGGAGGCTGCTATTTGCATTTGTTGATTTAAGAGAGGATGGGGGGAGCACAAGGGAGTGGGAGACTGCTAAAGCAATTCCCATATTGTCTGCAGGCTGTATTGACAGTGATCATCAGTCACCTGCTCATACTTCCTTCGCCCTGGCCTTCAGAGGGAGACCAAAGGTTACGCTGGGTCACAGGATCTGGAGGGAAATGAAAAGACATGCAAAATCGAGCTGCCAACCCACTGCATCTGTAGACAGAGTTATCCCCACCAGGCCACATGTTCCAAAAACTAAGACATTTTAATAGTCTCATGAGAACTTGTTAAAATATAACGATGAAGAGAATAGAGAGGAAAAATGCCAAGCTCTGCTTGCAATTACTGCAGTATTTAGCTGGGATATTTACAACCAAAAAAGCACATTTGCCTTTTCAGGATGCTGCTTTGCATCACAAAGGCCTTCTCATTTGCACAAACAAAATCAAGCATTTGTGTAGTGTTGCTTTTCTACACAAATATCCACTGCTGCAGTTTCAGGAGTGGGATGCATCGCATGGCATTCTTTCCCAAGTCTCTTATTTACACCCAAAAACTGCACTGGCATCCTCAGTAACTGAAGAGCAGAGACCACTCTACAAAAACATGCTTTACCATAGCAATGTTAGCAACTAACGGCATTTTCAAAGTTCACAAAGCTGTAGTTATACTGTTGTGTTAGTGAGTGCTATAGGTGACTACCTTCACGCAACACACAAACAGCTTTCACACTTTCAACTATTGCTCATTCGAAACATTCTCATTCTTTTCCCCAAACCATTCTGTGGGAATCCCCACACCTATAAACTTTGTACCCAATGTATGTAAGAGAAACCCCAAATCCAGCATCTCGGAATTCACAGCCTAAGGATGCACTGCCACAACTCAGTCCTCATTCACACAAGCAGATCCACTGGAGCCAACCGAGCTCATTTGCATGAGAAGGACATGAAAGATGAGACTTTAGATGACGGCCAAATTCTGCTTGTAGAAGCAAAAAAACTGCCCAGACACATGCGGGACTGCAAAATTTCACCCCAGAATATTATCCCCAAGATCTCTTGCCAGAGTTAAGTCAGATATTTAAGACAACTGTGAAATTTGAAGCTACTGAAACCTCCAGCTCTTGGGAAGGGAATGGGGCAGATGACAGCTCAGAAGCCTGAATTCTCATGCAATTCTAATTAGTAAAATTCCCTCAAATAATCCACAGTGACTGTTTCACTCCATGTTTTTATGGAAAGCAAGGGGGGGAAAAAAAGGTTCAGATTTGTAATATTTAAACATTAGAAATCTACTATTCAGTTAGTGTCACAGAGCAGCAATTACAAGACAAGATTTTAAAAAGCTGAAGTGAAAGGTAGGGGCCCATTTTGCCATACTTTCTGTGAACACAGCATTGCTACCTTAGGTGAAGGTGCCAATTAGGACAGTAAAAACAGTAATTCAGTGTTTAAACCAGCATTTCTTTCAAGACAGAAACGATTCTATTTGTACCGCAGTATTGTTCCTATGCCCCCACTGAGACACAAGCCAAATGTTCTGAGAATCTAAAAACCTGGCCTTTCTCTCATCTACAGATTAAAAAAATGAGGCAAAGAGATTTAGCAATTTACCCTAAATCCATGCGAGCATTCCACAGCAAAAGTAATGGAAACATACCTCCCGAGTTCTAGCCTGGGATTTTAACTATAAAATTAACCTTCTTTAATACAGTAAGTTATTATCATGATAGTTGTGACAACTGGCAAAGGAGGTGGAAAAGATTAGCAATTTTTCAAAGCAGCTTACTGCCAAGGATTATAAAAATTTATGTCCTTATGTCTCAATTGAACAAGAGAATCATACAAAAGCATAAGTATATGCCACCTCTTTCTATCTGTATTTGGATTACTTCTGGTTAAGAGGTAGCTGCAAGATACTAATCAATATGTTGCTATGATACAAAATCAGTTCTAAGTCATCATTTTGCTACCTAAAAAGCAACACTGCACTTGGAAACTTCAACATCCACCTTGGCAAGACACGGACATTGTGGCTTGCAGTTTTCTTCTTTCTAGATTTTAGTTTCTGCTACCAGTACACCAAAAGGAAAAAAAGAAAAAAAAAAAGTCTCTTCTGTAAGAAATCCTAGCCTTCCTTTCACAGTCCTGTACGGCAAAAGGGAGGGCTCCAATCAACCTAATCAGAGGAAAGCAAAGCATTTTTTTCCTAGTAACTTCTCCAGGCAGCATTGTAGCATATTTGGTCCCTCACCCCTACCCA